ATATGGAAGCTGGTATAGGAGCCCTGGTAGAGGTGTGGGATAGTCTTGAAAACTTAAGGAACATTTCTACACTGTTCCATAGGGTCACTATGAGTCGAAATCTACTAGATAACAGTAGGTTTGGTTTGTTTTTTAATGAAGATAGGGTGGAAACAGCGCATATTACCAGTCTCTGCTGTGCACACTCATTCCTCATGTGAACCCCATGCCTGGATTAGCACAAAATATAATCAGAAAAAAAAAAAAAAAAGAATATCAGGAAGAGATGTGTAGTCAGATCAGCAACCATAGGAATGCGTCTCACCATGGCCAAGAGCTCACAAAAGACTTGAGGATGGATAACTGAACTGCTGGTGGAATGTGGCCTGGGGTGGGATGGGGGTAGATGGTGTGCTGGCAGTACTTTTGAGTTACACAAATATCTGTTATTGGGTTGGAAAGAATTCTTTCTGGATAGTCTGCTTGGAATTGCCATAGACTCAAAGATTAAGGCTTTTTTAGTATGGGTCAACTGTACTGTAAATATTAAGACTTTCTTAGTTTCCATCACCCTTGAGATGGTTGGGAAATTACCTTAGGGAACATGAATTAGATGCTGCAGGATAATGCACTGGACCACAAGGTCAGTTTGAACCTCTAAGTCGGCACTTCAAACCCAAGGTCCGTTTGAACCTTAAAGTTGGTAGTTCAAACCCACCAACCGCTCCTTGGAAACCCTATACAGGGTTGCTGTGAGTTGGAACCTACTCAAAGGCACTTAACAACACAGAAACAATAACAAAACAAATGAGGCCAAGAAACAAGGGAGACTGTGACCCTGCAAGACCAGGCACCTGATTTCTCTTTACTGCTGACTCTTCAATACTTTTACCTTGGTCTTAGTGCTATTTAGTGTTCTAACTGAAAAGATGATTCTTTTACTATCCAGGCCTCTGCGTCTCCTTCTCTATTTTCCTGCTAATTTAATGAAATCATTCCTTTCCCTCTGCTGGAAACTCTGGGTAGAATTCAGAGGGGTAAAGGACAAAACAGCCATCTGTCTAGTTCCTTCTTTGTTGCCGACATATTTGATAAAAGGGACATACAGCTGGATGTGGAATACACTAGATAAAATGCATCTGAGTGATCATTTCTGAGTGACATGTACCTGGACTATCTTCAGACCTTCTGAGTTTTGCTTGAGCAAGATGGACCCTCTTCTTACAGACTGGACCCTTTTCTAATAGACTGCTTTGCAAAATTTCCATTTCAAGCCTGGAAACCTTTGGTAAAGCACTAAACTAGTAGTTCTCAATGTGCAATCCCCCAGCAGCAGCAGCATCACCTGGGGAACTTATTAGAAATGTCAATGTCCAGGCCCCACATGAGATTTCCTGAATCAGAAACTTTGGAGATGGTGCCCAAAACCTGCGTTTTAACAAGAGCTTCCCCTTGCGTTCTGCTTCTGTGTGCTGCTAATTTGTCTAGAAATCAAAGGTGCACCAAACTCAAAGGGGAGGTCCTGGCCCCACAGCTGCCTGCCAGGGTTCTTATAACTATCCACCTTCCTGGCCCAAGAGTTCACTGGCAGCAGACGGGGAAAGCCAGAGATAAAAGATCTGAGCAGGAGAGGTGATTTGGGTGAGAGGAGGGTGGGAAGGGGCACAGAGATCAGGACGTTAATGATGAAAGCCCTTTGGGGTGCTGCAGTCACTACTGCTTCAGACAAGGACGGATGCAGGAATTCTCAGAGTTATGTGTGTAGGAGACCAAAGGTCCACCGGGCCCAGGGGCACGTCTGTCATGGGGAGCTCAGGCGCTTCTACAGAAAGAGGGAGGGGTGGAGTGAGCTTGTGAGTTGTCCTCTTTTGTATCATCCTCCCATACCTCCTGCAAGTCGGGCTTTCCACAAAAACTACTGGAAATGAGTAAAAGGGCAGTGTCCTCAGACTGGTTTTCCTCACCAATAACCCCAGCATCACTTTGGAACGCCATAGAAATTCACAAAGAAGCCATTGTGCCAATATATAATACCACTTGTTAAGGACATGTTCCTATCATATAGACATGTCTCAAGACATTCCTGTGAACCTCTTTGAACATCTATGATTGGATCCATCAAATCTCATTTCATTTTCTCCCTGGGAATATAGAAAGAATACATTCCCCACCCTCTCTTGAAATTTGGTTGCAATCATGTGATTTGTTCTGGCCAATGGAATGGAAGAGTAAGCAACTTGTGTCACTTCCAACATGAAGCATCGAACAGTTGGTGTGGTATGTCATTGCTCTCTTTTTTTCCCTATTGCAGAAACCTGAAAAGCTACTTTTTCTGGATATTGATGCTAGATGGTGGTGCAGCTGTCAATAGCCTTATTGTTGCTGTCGTTAAATGCTTTAAAGCTGGTTCTAACTCATACGGACCCTGTATAGGGCAGAGTGGCTAATGGGCTAGACCCACCTACCTTGTGGTTCCAGTGCTTATCCTACAGAGCTATTGTGCTCCCGTCAACAGCCTTAGACCCTGAGAAATGATTGCCCTATAGGGTATCTGAGAAAATGATGGTCCAAAAAGGCAAATTTGCCTGAGCTTTAATTTAGCCTAATTAGCCTTTACTCCATGGTCAAGCGATGCAAATGAAAATTTGGGTTATTCTGAAATTATCTTTTAGCTGTTGAATTCTGTTTCTACAATACTCAGAGTCCAAACAGCAGGGTTCTGACCTTATAAATGTTACCAAACTAATAGTTACATACTTGTTATATTGTGAGTATAAACAAGGGCCCTGGAAACAGGAAGAAAAAGAGACCAAACCTGGAAAGGCTAATTAGACACCCTCCTTCCTAATAAGACCAGGAGGGAAGGTTGTTCTTTTTTCCAGGTCTTTCCTGCTTATCCCACCCCATAAACAATACAGAGATAGCAAAATCTCTTGATTGTAGGAAGAAGAGAACACTGGTAATTGCACACTACTTGATTTATTTGGACAAGCAGCAACTTGTCAATGAGCATAGATGCAATAATATTCCCAGAATAAAAGAAATTAAATATTGATAGGTACCTGGAGTCAATACTGAATAGAAAGAAGTCAGGGAACTTTATCAGAAATAATTACTTCTATAGTGGATGGAAAGTAGCATAGTGGTTACAAATTGGGCTGCGAACCGCAAAGTTAGCAGTTCGAAACTACCAGCTGTTCCGTGGGAGAAAGATGAGGCTTTCTGCTCCTGTAAAGATTTACAGCCTCGGAAACCCTGTACAGGGTCGCTGTTAGTGGGAACCAACTCCAGGGCATATAACCACCACCACCACAGGGGATGGAATATAAGGACAGGCCTTTCTCTTACCTGAGCTGTAGAGCTAGGGCTGGAGGCATAATCTTTGCTCCTATCCTGCCAATGAGGGTTGGAAACACGCCCACTAACTCCACCACAGTGATGTGCCGAAGGTCCAGGCTGCATTGTGCTTGCTGAAAACAGAACAAGAAACAGGCAAGGCCTGAGATTTCCATGTCAAACTGAAAATTGGCAAAAGCACTGATCTGCTTTTGAAAGTTTATGTGACGACTCCAAACTGTCCTGAAAATACTTGAAATATTGGGGTTAAACTAGGAGCTATAAAAACCTAAATACCTTCCTAGAGGAATCATTCAGAAATGGCTTGGCAGTGAGATTTTTTAAATCTAAGCAAAATGGCAGTCTGTGTGTTTCCAGATGGGGTGAGACTTTGCATAAGCCAAATTTCCTCAAAAGTGTCCAAGACTAGCCTCAAAGGATTCTAAATTCGTCTTTGCAAGAGTCGAAAAATATTTCCAGAGTATTCTTCACCCGCCAAATACCCCTCCACATATCCAGACCTAAGGGAAACAAGAATAAAAGGTCCCAGTTCTCTGCGCTGGCCCTTGGAAAGAACTTCGGGAATGTGGCCCAGTCAGCTACGTGCCAGGAGGTCTCTTGAGGAATGGCACTGGCAATGAGGGAACAAAAAAAAGTAACTTAAGAACGATCTGGCTATATGAGAAAAGAAATTTTAAACTCCTGAACTATTAGAACATCAAATTTTCTATCATAATTCCATGGAAACTTCCCTATATGAGTTGACAGATAGGTATAAAAGGGAAAAAAACATACTTTTCTGTTATTCTGACTGAAACAACTAGTCAATGAAACCATTCCTTGGAAGTTCTCTTTGAAACGCAAGTGCAAATATGTTGGAGAGGGTGGGTCATGTATGAAATGCAAGTGCAAATATGTTGGAGAGGGTGGGTCATATATGAAATGCAAGTGCAAATATGTTGGAGAGGGTGGGTCATATATGAAATGCAAGTGCAAATATGTTGGAGAGGATGGGTCATATATGAACATCTTTTGAAGATAAGTAGTGTCAGTTCTGACTCATAGTGACCACCCTGTGTAATTTCCTAGAAGTAGCTGGTGGACTTGAAGTGTTGACCTTGAATCAACAATGGATCCTATAGCACCAAACCTTAGTGCCAAATATTTTATCCAATTAATTGACTAGTAATATATTTAAAGCAATGGGGTGAATATCACAGGATATTGTTGTTGTTAAGTGTCATTGTGTCAGTTCTGACTCATAGTGACCTTATTATATAGGGTTTCCAATGGGAGAGACTAGAGTAGGAGATGGCAAACTTTGGCTGTAAAGGACCACATAGTAAATATTTTAGGCTTTGTAGGGTTTTAGAGTCTTCATGGCAACTACTCAGCATTGTGGTGTGAAAGGAGTACTAAACAATATGCCAGCAAATGAGCATGGCGGTGTTGCAATATAACTTTATTTAACAAAAGAGGCTCCAGGCCAGATTTGGCCCACATGCCATAGTTTGTTCACCTAAAGGAAAAGCAAGTTGCTTGACATATTAACTTTTCTATTGAGTAAGAAGAGGTCAGGAAACACATATATTGTAGCCTGAAAAGCCTATTTCCCACAAAAATGGAGGGCTGTGGGTTTGTGTTACCTGAATAGCAAGCTCTACCAGGAGTCCCCATCACGTCTGTCAATTTGTCATATTGTCAGGAGGGACCAGTCGCTGGAGAAGGATATCATATTTGGTAAGGTGGAGGGTCAGAGAAAAAGAGGAAGACCCCCAGCGAGATGGATTGGCAAAGTGGCAGCATCAATGGGCTCAAGTGTGGCAACAGTAGTGAGGTTGACCCAGGATCGGGCAGTGTTTCATTCTGTTGTGCATAGGGTCGCTATGAGTTGGTACCGACTCGATGGCACCTAACAACAACAAGAACCAGGAATCCTGGTGTGGCACTACAGGACATTGTACTAGACCACAAGGTCAGTTTGCACTACAAGGTTGGCTCTTCAAACCCACCAGCTACTCCTTGGAAACCCTAGATAGGGTCACTATGAGTCAGAACCTACTCGATGGCACTTAACAACAACTTAACAACCTGAGACAAGGTTGGCAGTAAGGTGGCCGGGACTGGGAGTAAAGATGCAGTGATTCTGATTCCTATCAAGCAAATGCAAACAATTTTTCATGTGGCTCTTGAGAGTTCATGGGCAGTCCTTCAAGTACATGAGAAGAGTGAAGAAAGATTTGTCATTATTCATTATATTAATGCTGAGATAAGAAACAAAACTAGCCTTTTATTTTAAATTTTTTATTGTGAATTAAGTGATAGCCTACATGGGAGACCATCAGTCTTATATTCATCCCATCGTACTTCATTTCATTGCAATGACGACAATCCCCTCCATTCATTATCATTCAACAGCATTTGCTTCCATTCCCTCTGTTGTTGTTGTTTGTTTTTCTGTTTTTTTGGATGTATACTGAAGCACTCAGGAATATATAACAATTCAAATAACCAAAGCACACACCCTGCAAGCCCGCTCCCCGGTTATCAGCACACAGCCCCTCTCCCTCCCTGAGTCCAGAGTCCCCAGCTACTCCATCTCTCCATGTCATTGTCTTTGCCTCCATCTCTGGCATCACTGCTTCTCTGGATAGGGTCCCACACTCTGCTCTTCTCCCTTGATGGCCCCAGGGTCCTCCACTCCTGGACTGCAAAATCAACCACTCCCTTCCTACAACTTAGCCTTTTATCAAACCAAGATTGTTCTATATACTTAGCTCACTCTAGTCACTGTAATGTTGTTGTGTGCTGTCAAGTCAGTCCCAACTCATAGGGACCATATATAGTGTTTCCAAGGAGCAACTGGTGAGTTTGGACTGCCGACCTTGCAGTTAACAGTCCAGTGTTTATCCTATAGTGCCAGCACTGTGGCCATTCACTCTATTGAAAACCATCTCCAGGACAACATCAAATAAGTTCTAGGTTCCATCCTTTCAATTTTTGGTTTTAGTCACAAGATAATGGTTGCCTCATTTGGTAGCTACACAATTCACACAGCTAAGAAGTGCACATCTCCTAGAAAGTGCTCCTCAGACTTCAAGATGCTTAGGAATCTCCTATGGATCTTGTTTCAATATAGATTTGATCCAGCAGGTCTGAGGTGGAGGCCTGAGATGTTGTATTTTGAGCATGCTCCCAGGTTATGTTGATGCTACTGGTCCAGGGACTACACTTTGAGAGAAATGGTCTACAAAACAGCTGCCACTCTCTGAGGAGCTATGTGAGGAGAAGAGAAGCTCCATGGAGCAGAATCTGGAGCCTGTGACCTCTGAGAGGCCTCTCATCCCTTGGGCATATGACTTGAGCATATGACTGGTTGATCCAGTCCAGGCACATCCTGGACAGGTTTGGCAAGGACAATTGTTCTTTGGCTGGGCCCGGACCACATGTCAATTAGGCTTAATAGTAAGGACAGACAAAAATTGTCTGCATGGAAAATGATTGGGTTAGGTCTGGAGAGTCAATGTAAATCAGGTTATGCCTCAGAACCAGAAATTAATGAATGCCACAGTAAATGGATTAGGCACTGAATCTAGCCTTTGTTTTTAATGAAATGGAGGGGTCCTTCCTGTTAGAGTTCTCTCTCCTACCTTTGCCCCTCTCCCAAGGCTTACCTGTAGCATTCCCAGCTGCAACCGGTAAAGAAGGTTCCGGGCTGTGGGTGTGGACAAAATAAGTAGTCTCCTTTTTTCATAAAACTGATCTAGAAGCGCAGCTGCTGTTCTGACGCCCACATTGATGTTCATGGCTGTAATCAGAAATGGCCACATGGACATGTAGAAACTGGCAAATTGGTATATGTTTTCCTGAGCATATTCTCAAGAACAAGTAAATAAATTTAGAGGAAAAAGAAACTACACTGTTTTAAATTTAAGAAATGAAGAAATAAAAGGCCACATGGATTAGAAACCCTCTGCTTTTTCCAGCTCAACATAACCTGTGATGACAGACAGAATCGTAAGAAATGACCCTGAGGGGGGAGTAGTTAATCTTGCAGTCTAGGAACAGAGGACCTTAGGACCATCAAGGGAGAAGAACATGAGTGGAAGTGTGACCCTATCCAGAGAAGCAGCAACACCAGAGATGGAAGCAGAGATGATGACATTAAAAAAAGAACAGAGCCCAAGACAAGGATTTGTGTGTAAGCAGTTTACTTGGGAGGTGGTCCCAGGAAACACTGGTAAGGGACTGGGGACAGGCATCATTTTCCTATGGCTTTTGTAACAAATCACCACAAACTCAGTAGCTTAAAAAAAATGCAAATGTATTATCCTATAGTTCTGGAGGTCCAAAAGTGGGGTTCACTGGCTAAAATCAAGGTATTCGCAAGGCTGTGTTTATTACGGAGTCTGTAAGAAGAATCCATTCACTTGCCTTTTCCATTTCTAAAGGCTGCCTGAAATCCTTACCACAAGGCCTCTTCCTCCAGCCTCCAAGATAGCAGTGTAACAGCTTCAAATCTTTATCCACTCTGACCTCTGCTTCTGATGAACTCATTCTGACTCTGGTTCCTCTTACACCTTCTTTCCCTTATTAGAGCTCTTGTGATTACATTGTGCCCAACCAGAAATCCATGAAAACCTCCCTTATCTTAAGCTCGTTAACTGAACTACAGCTGCAAATTTCCTTGTGTCATGTAAGGTACATAGTCACGGGTTCTGGGCATTAGGATGTGGACATTTTGGGGAGGCCATTATTCTGTCTACCTTAGGAAGTGAGATGGGAAGAAAAGGAGGCAATACAGAGTGTGTTATCAGCAAGTTGTGGGCATCTGGAGTTCAAGCCTATTAAGGAATTTTGCAAGACCATGTACCACACACCTCAAAGCTATCCCACCAATAGAACAAAGGAACTGAAGCATCATTGAGGACTGCTTCTGGGGGGTACTAATTATCTATCCTTTCCAGCTGGCTCTATGCATAGGTCTGCAATGCTTTCATAACCATGCAGTGGGGAGGGGGTTAATCAGAGAGACTTGGGAAGTTGCAGTAAGTAGCCTTCTGAGTACGGGTGGCAGTGCCAAAGGCATAAAGTACAGGCACCAACAGCATCTGCTGGGGAAAGAGGTACAGGGAGGCATATAGATGAAAGAACAGGCAACGGAAAGGTTAACTTGTGGTGAAAAGGCTCAGACAAAAGTCTGCTTTCTTAGAGAGGACATATAGTACAGGACATAGAGTGCCACAGAGCAAGGAATTCTGCCACGGAGAACATGGGACAAAGCAGTTTGTTTGAATAGGTCTGCCTTTTAAGCAAATAAGTGGCCACTGATCCCAGCTGGTTAGCTGGTTGGGGTCAATGAAAGATGATTAATGAATAGGTAAGCAAATAGGCCTGACTCTGGAGAAAAAGTAATATAAGAAGAGCTAAGGAATTCTGTATATGGTTTATAGTGTTGGTATTTGTATTTCAAACTTTCCAGTTGTGTTGATAATTATTTGTTCATTTACACATTCATTACTGAGCCAACGCCCACTGAGTGCTTGCTATGTGTCAAGCCCTGTGCCAGACACTGGGGTACAAAGCTCACTCACTTCCTCCATTGACTCAGGGTCAATGACAACTTGAAATATAATGGGAGCCATCATGTAATTTTCAATGGTTCAGTAACCATATTATATAAATCTAAAGAAATAGCTGAAATTCATTTGTAATCATGTATTTTATTTAACCCAATATATCAAAAATTATAATTTCAGCATGCAATCAAAATAAAAATTTTTCATGGGATTTTTTTTTTATATTCTTTTTTGTACTAAGTCTTTGAAATCAATGCTTATTTTACACTTTCAGCACACTTCAATTCAGAATAGTCACATTTCAAATGCTCTACAGTCACATGGTGTCAAATCATATCGGTTCAGTTTGCGCAGGCCTAGAACCTTGTTGTATTCCCTGGGCCTCAATGCCAGCATGTTGGGCATCAAGTTCATAGATGGGGAGTCTGGGATGGGTATGCTTTTTCTCATTTAATGTTTAAGATCAAAGAACCTCAAGCACTTGGATGATCTAACTCTGAATGGCACAAGTTAAAGGGAAAGAAAAATGATGCGACAATATCAGGAAATGGGGGGAAAGGATATAAAAATAAGAGATATGTCCAGAATTTTCTAGCCAGTCCAAATATCACACTGTTATCACTACCTGGCCCAATTTTTGTTCATCAGTAATAACAGCTGTGCCAGGCATTACTTTAATCCACTGCTCAATGGATGACCCCATTTCAACCTTACAACCACTCAAGTAATAGAGGTTTTGTTATCCTCATTTTATAAAGGAGGAAAGCTTCCAAATGCATGAAGTTTGCATGGCTTTCAAACCAGAGCTGCAAAACTTTCACTGTATCCTGGCAATGGCAGCATATGGCTTCATAAACAAGATCCTTCCATTAGTAGAAGTTGTTGTTGTTAAGTGCCGTTGAGTCATATCCGACCCATAGCGACCCTGAACAGGGTTTCCGAGGCTGTAAATCTTTACTGGAGCAGAAAGCCTCATCTTTCTCCTGCGGAGCAGCTGGTAGTTTCGAACTGCTGACCTTGCGGTTTGCAGCCCAATTCGTAACCACTACACTACCAGAGCTCCTTAGTAGAAGAGAGGGACAAAAGTAACTAAAGCGGACTCTGCTGATTCGCAATGTCATAAAATGCTAGTTCTGGATTCCTATCTCCACCCTCTTCTTTAGAGAATCTGAAGGGAAATCAGAGGTAAAGTAGGAGGGATAGCCAGATGAGTTGCTGCAGAAATCCAAGGACTGCTTTTACCTGCTCAGATGAAAAGGGATGGCACTAAACTTTTAATGTGTAGGAAATGAAATTCTCCCTCTCTTTACTTGTTTATCCAGTGGAATCCAGAACCAAGGGGTCTTCCGTTTCTGTTGCTGACTGGAGAGATGGCTGCACACATACCTGCACAGGTGGGTTCCGTGCCAGACCAAGCCAGGTTAGATTGACACACTCTTGCAGGGCTACCTTGTAGCTCATAACCACCAATGCAGGAGAACTCACAGGTGGCGCCATAATTGTCGCCATCACTGGAACACTTTATATAACCATTCTCAGGGGCATTGAGTTTGCCGCAGCGTTTGACTGTGGAGACACAAGCCCAGAGGGATCTCAGGGTGAGTTCGCTTTCACAGAATAACCAGGGAAGGTGGAGGTCTGTTAAAATAGTGAGTGGATAGGGATGGCTACTTGACCACTGGGTAGATCTTAGTATGGTCACTGTCCATATCACTGAGACCATGTAGATCACACTTGTTTAGCCCTCTGTGTTTCATGAGGAGACTGAGCCAACAAAACTAAAGATGGTTAGTTTTAGCTAACCACCCCAATGAGGTACAAAAGGGACTTTATAAACTTTTTTCTTTCAGGTAGACTAATGGTTCTAAAACATCAAGAACATGGTCAACTAGTGGCTCAAACTAGAGGGCTCCGAATCACACAGTTACCGAAGGACTGGTAGGCTCTAACTGAACATCCAAAGTCCAGAGTTGGAATAGTTGTCAAATAAAACTCTGCAGGGACAGACAGCTGGGGACTCCTGTGGAACTACCTTTCTGCCCTCTGGGATGATTTAAAGAAGCCATGTGATGTGGCTAAGTGCCAGCACTGAACCTCATCCAGATGTGTATCATGAAATTCAGGCATTAAGATGGGACATATCCGCAGCCTCATCAGAGGCAAATCCAATGCCTTGCCAAGTGCCCCCTACTACAGAGGACTCTTGCTTGAGAGCTTACGTTTCTTTGTTCTCCTAAAGCCAATAAGCAGCTTTCTTACCTCTTACTTTAACCCGAAATTTGCAAGTGCCCTTATTCTCAGCTCTGTCATAAACGGTGTACTGGATCCTGTGGTCTCCTTCTGGAAAATGTGAGCCTGGAGGGAGGCCTTTTAGAATAACACTGAAAGGGGGGAAAAAATGAAAACACCCAAGTTGGTCATTTTGATCCTACAGAGCATTTGGTGAGCACCCACTCTGCACAGGACAGTTTGATTAGAACAAACAGTCACGAAGAATCACATTTCCTGAGCTTTCCTCTGTTGTGGAAGATTAGTTAGAGAGCAGAAAATAGAAGGCCCCAAATGCTGGGACGTTTAAATTCTTTTTCTCAGCACAGGGAAACAAGAGAAGTTTTTGGAAGGAATTTATTTACTGCTTTTATAGTTTGAATGAATAAAACGAATCAATGAGCAGACAAATGGATCACCACCAACCAACTTTGTAGTTGAGCCCCAAAGCACTACTACTGACTACCAAATAGCCCACAGACACCTGGGTGATGCAGGGGGTAGAATAAAGGGTACAGGAGGCTGGAAACCCAGGGTACAAGTCTTCTTCCACCCCACCCCTATTTCAGGGAGTGTCTGAATTGGCTCACTCTTCTAAAGGCAAGGAAATGTTCTGAGAAAAATCACCTGAAATAGCCCAAGCAGTCATTGGTAATTTGGGAATGCAAAGAGTGCTCGAACGTTCTTTGCTTTTTCCATCTGAGCACAAAAAGGTAAGTTCTCTGGAATTCTTTAGTTATCCAAAGAGTTGTAGTAGCAATAGCAGTAGCAGCATTAGTAGTAGTTTGTACTTAAATAAAGCTTACATATGCCACTTAATTATATTACCCTTATTTAGTCTTCACAAAACCCCAATGAGATAGGTCTTATTATCTCCAACTTACAAATGAGGAAAGAGAGCTATTGAAAGATTAAAGAACTTGACCATGATCACATGACTAGTGTACCTCCAGTGTCTTTCTTCCTGCCTGTGTGATACAGATATTATTAAGTACAGCATAATCAAATGCCAAGTTGTTTCTTTTTCAACAAACAAATCATTTCCCTTCCCTCACCAGTTCTTAGGAAAGATGAGACTATTTACCAATAATGTTGTTGCTACGTGCCATTAAGTCAGTTCCAACTCATAGCATAGGGTTTCCAAGGAGCAACTAGTGGGTTTGAACCATCGACCTTTTGGTTAGCAGTCGAGTGATTATCCTACAGCACCACACCAGGGCTCCTTTACCAACAATAGACATGTAAAATTATCATTGCCACCACTGAGAAGACCCTTACAGACAGGTGGATGAAGTAGCTGTTTATAAGATATTAGTCCTGGTGTAGCACTGTAGGAATAAATACTGGACTGCTAACCACAAGGTCTACAGTTCAAACCCATTAGTCACTCCTCAGAAACCCTATACAGGGTCGTGATGAGTAGGAAATGACTTGGCACTTTACAACAAGTGAGGGATCTGGGAAAAGTGTGGGGAAAGTCACCATTAGATGTATGTTGCTTTGGCCTGTATGTGCTTTAAGGTCCTCAGGAGGCACAAATGAAATGTCAATAGCCTCTCTGAATTTCATTTCCTCTGTGACAAGCAGATAGGAGTCATACAAACATAAATAAAATGACTCACAGGAAGCACTAGTCACAGAGATTGATGGAGATGCCCTAGAACTTTCCCTCTTAAAAGGGAAGAGTAGCTTGAGCAAGATGCAGGGGAAGGAAGTCACAGGATAAGTGCTAGGAAAACAGAGCCCAAGTTGAGAGTGAGAGCTGGTAACTGAGCTTCCTTTGAACAACTCAGTAAGTGGGAGCCCACATCCAACAGCATCCTGCTCCACACCTCTGTAAGCAGACAGCTCCTCTGAGTGGAGGGGTAAGAAGCTCTAAGATGCTCTTTTAAAATGTCACATTACTAACACCAGAGATGAGGACATGGAGAGAGGGAGCAGCTGAGGACTCTGGACTCATGGAAAGAGAGGGACTGGGTGCTGGTGGCCAGGAGGCAGACTTGCAGAATGTGCCCTTTGGTTGTTTAAATTATTATATATTCCTGAGTGTTTTTGTGTACATCCCCCCCCTAAAACAAAACAAAACAAAACAATAACCACACACACCAAAAACAAAACAAAAACAACCCAGAAGGAATGGAAGCAAATACTGTTTGTTGAATGATGATGCATGGAGACTGTATTTATGAAACGATGGTGAAATGTCAATGTTCTCCCATGTAAACTGTCACTCAGTTCACAAGAAAAACTTTAAAAAAAAAAGTCACATTTCTAATCACAACACACAGGTTATCCACAAAATGCCAAGATAAATGTACTTCCCAAGCTTTCAAATAAATAGAGTCATTTGATGAAAAGGGATATTTTTTAGCTGTTGTTGTTTTTAGTGCCATCGAGCTGGTTACTATTCATAGCAATCCTTTGCACAATAGAACAAACACTGCTCAGTACTGTACCATTCTCCTAATCGTTGTTACGCTGCTGCCACTGTGCCAATCCATCTCATTGGGGTCTTCCTCTTTTTCGTTGACCTTCCACTTTACTGATAAAATGTCTGAACTATGAGAGACAAAGTCTTGACATTCTTGTTCTAAAAGGAATTCTGGCTGTACATCTTCCAACGCAGATTTGCTTGTTCTTTTGGCAGTCCGTGATAATTTCAATATTCTTCTCCAACACCATACCTCAAATGAATTAATTCTCCTATGATCTTCCTTATTCATTGTCCAACTTTCATATGACCATGGCTTGGGCCAGGCACACCTTAGTTACTCTAGAACAGTTTAAAGAGATCTTGTGCAACAGATTTGCCCAATGCAATACGTCATTTGATTTCATGACTGTTGCTTCCATGAGTGATGATGGATCCAAGCAAAATGAAATCTTTGACAACTTCAATCTTCCCTCCATTTATCATGATGTTATTGATTATTCCAGTGGTGAGGAATTTTGTTTTCTTTACATTGAGGTGCATGCAACCCCTAGAGAAGACTGTGATCTTTGATCTTCATCAAAGTAAGTACTGTAAGTCCTCTCCGCTTTCAGCAAGCAAGGTTGTATTATTTGAATATCACAGGTTGTTACTGAATTTTCCTCCAATCTTGATGGCACATTCTTCTTCATATAATCTAGCCACTTTGATTATTTTCTCAACATACAGATTGAATAAATATGGTGAAAGACAAACTAGGCACACACCATTCCTGATTTTAAACCATTCAATATCCCTTTGTTCTGTTCAAACGACTGCCTATGCACAGGTACCTCATGAGCACAATTAAGTGTTCCAGAATACTCATTCTCAGCAATATTGTCCATAGCTTGTCATGATCCACACAGTCGAAACCCTCTGCATAGTCCATAAAGCACAGGTAAACATCTTTCTGGTATTCTCTGCTTTCAACCAAGATCCATCTAATGTCAGCAATGATATCCATCATTCCACATTCTCATCTGAACCTGGCTTAAATCGCTGGCAGGTACCTGTCAATAACGTACTATTGCAGCCATTTTTGAATTGTCTTTAATAAAATTTTACTTATATGTGACATTAATGATATTGTCCAATGATTTCTGCATTCCACTGGGTCACCTCTCTTTGGAATTGGTACAAGTATGGATCTCTTCCAATCAGTTGGTTAAGTAGCTGTCTTCCAAATTTCTTGGCATAGGTGTGTGTGCCTCCAGTGCTGCATCAGTTTGTTGAAAGATTTCAATTTGTATTCTGTCAATTCCTGGAGCCTTGTTCTTTGGCAATGACTTTAGTGCACATTGGACTTCTTCCTTCAGTATCATTAGCTCTTGAACTTATGCTACCTCTTGAAATATTTGAACATCGACTATTTATTTTTGGTACAGTGACTCTGTGTATTCCTTCCATCTATTTAGTGTGGCCTTCCATCTTCTTTTGATGCTTTCTGCGTCACTCAATATTTTGCCTAAAGAATCCTTCAGTATTTCAAGTTGAGGCTTGAATTTTTCCTCAGTTCTTTCAGCTTGAGAAATGCTGAGTGTTCTTCCCTTTTGGTTTTCTAACTTCAGATCTTTGCACATTTCATTATAATATTTCACTTTTTCTTCTCGAGCTTACCTTTGAAATTTTCTGTTCAATTCTTGCTTCCTCATTTCTTCCATTTAATTTAGCATCTGTATGTTGGAGAGCAAATTTCAGAGTCTGTTCTGTCATTCATGTTGATCTTTTCTTTCTCCCTTGTCTTCTTAATGACCTTTTGCTTTTTTCCTATATGATGTTCTTGATGTCATCCCACAACTCTTCTGGTTTTTGGTCACTAGTGTCTAATAAATCAAATCTGTTCTTGAGATGATCTCTAAATTTAGGTGTGATACGTTCAAGGTCATCTTTAGGCTGATGGATAGAAACTCAGTGGGGAGGTTTATAACCATGTTTTATAACAAACTATTTTCTGCTTTGATCTTCTGTGTTGATACCATGTGTTTTCAATAACTGAAGTCGTTCTGGAAACAAGGGAAGTAACTGAAGTAATATGGATTTTAATATAATTATGTGAAACACATATGTCCCAAATGGATTTGGTGGCAGGATTGGTGGATGATACCCATTTCTTCAGATTCAAGCAGTTATATGGGTCCCCTTGTACAGAGTCACTATGAGTTGGAACTGACTGCACGGCACATCACCACCACCGCCACTATTCAGTAGCATGTACTACAACTGGGATAACAAATTCCCAAGAAACCTCAGAGGCTGAAAATGTAGGTGGGTGATACATGTTCCATGAAAGGGTTAAAGGATGGATGTGAAAGTGCTAACATGAAGTAATGGGCTCTAAAGAACACAGGGCCTAACCAAACATCTGCAGGTGTCCCAGGACTAGATACTAGATCAGAACAAAATGTAGCTGAACTTCAACACAAGGAACCAGTCTTTTAAAAAATGCATCTCTGGTGCTGATCAAACTATTAAAATGTTTTTTCCTGGACAGTGGAGTTGGATATGGAAGGAAGGTAGAAAACACCTTCTCTTTTTTTATAAGTTTCTGTAAGTATTGGATGTGGTCACAATTTTTTACAGGTAAAAGAAAAAAGTTTGAAAGGAGCATGGGTAACCAAAAACAGAGGAGTGGAAAAGTTCAGCACTCAACCACATTCACAGAGCACCTGGCTTCACCTGGGAGACACGGAAGGCTTTCCAGCGGAGGGAACCTGGGAGCATGAATGGCAGTCCTCTTGGTAGAAATGGGATTGATTCTATCCCAGAGTTAATCAGATTCTATCCCAGCTGGCTCTTTCCTCCTCCTTCTTCTTTTCCTCCCACCATTCCTTCTTCCGTCCCTTCTTTCCTTTACTAAATATTTATTGAGTGCCATTTAGGTTCCAGCCATGGTTGCAGACACTAGAGAAAGGCAGTGAGCTTAATGTAGTGGAGACAGGCAATAAACCAATAAGTCATATCAAAGAGCAAGACCAAAACATTACTGTTAAGTCATAGAAGCTTTAAAGAAACAAAAGTATAAAAATGTGAAGCTTTGGTTTCTTGACATAGCCTCAGTTTATGTCTTTGTACTTCTAAAGGTGGTGTTTTCATTTCTGTAAGTTGTCCCTTAAGAATTCGTCACTCTTCGATTTACTCCAAGTTTTGGCATCCTTAGTGGACTCAATTTGTGTTCCTTTTCAATGTTCTTTGAGTTTTGAAAACTAAAAGACATCTAAAACAAGTAAAATAAGAACTATAGGGTGGATGAGGTAAGATTTCCTAATGAAATTCTCACAGGGTAGCCTTTGAGAATGAACCCTCAGAGAATGAACAGGTGCATTGTTGTGGTGGAAAAATTCCTTGCCGCAACTGTCCTGTCCTTTTTCTCACCAATGCGTTCTTCGTTTTCTTAAACTGTCTTCATAATAAACCCCATGATTGGCCTATGTTCTTCATGAGGCTCCAACAAGACGACCGCTTTGGAATTTCAGAAAAACAGTCCCTATAACCTTTTGAGGTGACCTCTCTGCCTTGAATTTAACTGGCCAGGAAGTCCCAATGGAAACCACTGTTTTTATTATACCTTGGGTTTTTGTTTATTTTGTTTTGTTTAGGCAGCCAAAGGAGTCTAAGACAAGTGTATTACTGAGAAAACTTGTCTGCAGCCACCCACTGATCACAGACACGTGTTAAACATCTTTTGTTTGGAATAATCCTACACATGTATGAACTGGAACCCTGATAGCAGTATTTTTTTTTACTAACCCTTGTATATAGTACGTTAGAGGGTGTAAAGAACTACAGAGGGGAAA